TTCAGCAAAATAATTTGGTTTATTTCATGTACTTCACACTTTCCAAATGCAGGACATTTGGTGCGTTGCTTGACGTGGCTTCTTCTGCAATGTTTTTTAACGATTTAACAGATCTTCTTCAGGTTCAGGTAGGGGTTGTTTTTGCCTCTGACCATTGCTGCGTTGTTTCGGTGGCGTTTTTTACTTTCTCCGCTTGTGTACTGCATTGATATTATCTGCTGATGTCCCTGTGCTCGACGATTGCCCGCTGATGACCTTAACAGGAGCGCTGGTGGCTTCGGCTAATCGACAAATATCCAAACACTTTTCAGGTGATAATTTAAGATCTTGCAACAAGCTTCGTCGAACACTATTGTCGGCGATTCCACAAACAAGGCGGTCGCTAATCATCCCATTTGTTAACTCGCATATAAAAAAAATTCACACGTTGCCGCTAGAGCTCGCAGTACTGCGAGTAAACAACGATTGATTCCTGAGGTTCTTGTTTTCAATAGTTGAGCTCGTAACGTTCGTATATAGATAACATCTGTCTGGCCAATACAATAGGACTTTCATAGATTCAAAACGACATTTGTCTTGTTTTTCCTCATCAGAGCGAAAAGGCAGGCTATTGTGTACTTCGAGCGTATCAGGGCCAATGCAAGTGATGAAAGTCACTGAGCGAAATCTACTTTCCTTTTCGTTTATCTTTGTGACGGTTTCATATGCTTCCCAAACTTGTTACATTTCTTCCAGTTCTCGGATAGAGTTTCTTTTAATTCTAGCCGTCCTGGTGGAGGTATATTGGTCGTAAGAGTCAGAGAAGAGACTTGCTGTGTTGAACCATGGTCGCTCGTGAAGGCTTTAGGAGCTTAAAGACAATTTAAAAGAAGACACCTTCTGACACCACGTTGCGATTACCCTCAAATAAACTATCACAAAGGTAGTTGGAATCTTGAAATTTAATAGAAAGAAGACTCAACGGCTCCGAACAACTTACAAGCGAAGCGAATCCCTAAGCACGAGGTTAGACTAATATTAACATTTTTCTTTTGTGGTTCGTAACGTATGAGATTCAACCCCGCACCGTCGATTTCTATTCGACCTCGGTTAAGAATTCGTGCCACTCTAACTTTAAGGCCAAGAACACTTATTAATAAGTTAAGACGAATTCATCTTAGATCAACATGAAAAGTGCTTCTTTTAATAATTTACATAATTATGCCTTATTTTAAGACACAAAGTTCTCAGGTCCAAATATCCAGTTCTCAAGATGTGTGTATGTGTTTCCCTTTGAACTGGTGTTTTCCAAATAAACAGCGAGATCCTAACGCCATTGAAAATTTGTTCTTTTTTCGAAAAGTTCGCCATATGCTCCTTTTCATGGTGCTACAGCAGTTTAAGATGAGCTGCAGCAAAACAGCAAATATCAACTGCTAGGTTGCTCGTATTTGAGGTCCATTTGATTCAAATGGTCAGATGCTGTAGGTTATTTTAACTCAAAATTAAGGCTTAAAAGCCATTATTCGCGTTTCCCAGTACTCTCAAATAATATTCTTGGCTGGATAACAGCGAGGAATACCGACGAACGGAAGTTTATAACCTTCCTCATTGAAGTAAATATCTGCTGTCATCTTCTTTCAGCTTATGTCCTTTTTATACAAGTAGTCTGCATTTTATCTGAATTGAATTTTCATGTCCGCAGAACGGCTTAAACGCTTCTTTCTTCCCGAAGTGTGACTTCCCGTGACAAAATGGTGTGACAGTAAGGCTAATGATTGCGCAATGTTGGAAAAAAGAGAAAAATATGTTTTTCCATGTTCAAGGTTGCTTTTTTTCAAGTTTGTGTTAAATACTACTACTTTTCGCCTTCTAAAATAATACATTCTATCGTTTTTAGCTAATTTTATAAAAGGAAATGAACGATAGCGTCAGCCGACAACTCGGCCTCTGACTGTGTGAAATTATTTGCCATGATTACAAGAGCGCGCCTCTAGATAATTAGAACTTTTTATTCCTTTTGCTTAATCCAAACATTCACTGCTCAGTGTAGGTCTTAACTTCAAACAGGTGCAAAACCCAGCCAGAGGTAGAATAATCAGCCACGCTTTAACTTGGTTAGTTTATTATTGCTGAGTGGGATAAACCAACATTCCTCCTACATCACATAAGCCGAAGTAGTATTAAACGAAGTGATTGCTTACCAAATGAATCAAGCGGAGTATCAATTCATTTACCATAATATGTGATACTGCTACTTGTTGACAATTGATGGAAGTGAAGTTCATAGTAGCAAGTATAAATTTATTCTAGATGAAAATAAGTAAAACAGTAAATATCTCAATCAGCTTACCTGCACACTGGAGTAGCTGAAGCAGCAACAGCAGTGATTTAACAGGAAAAGGCATTCTGTGATCGTCTGAAACGTATAACATGACGTCGATAACAGGCCTACTGGTGTTTTGACTTGCCAGTAATCATAAAACGTACATTTTCTCACTGAAGAGAAGATAAGCAAAACGACACAGGTAAATGATAACCTTGCCACAAGCGTCGTCTGGTCTAAACCACGTGACAAATTCAAGCTGAAGTAAAAAACTTATTACGTCACGCCATGCATTTGTATTCCGAATTTAATTATTATGTCTCTACGTTTAAATCAGTCAGATACAATTACATAATTATTAAAAACAACAACAACAAAAATCCAGCCGAGACTCTTTAATAAGTCTTACTCTAGCATCTCAGCTGACTGCCCCGAAGCTTCCTTATTAACCTTTTTATTAATAGTGGTGTTTCGCTTATAATCTGTTTCAGGTGCTGTCACGGTGATTTGGGTATCCCCTTGCTTTGGGAATACCTTCTCAAAATACGTTAGTGTTTTAGGCATCACTAGTAATATATATTGTAAGCAACAGGAACAGTATATATTAATCATTAACGTAAAGAAGGTATCGTTCTGTTTACAATTAAGGTTAAAGACAGTCCCAATCAATGATTTGCGATCTGATGTCATTTTTTCAACTTCTTTTATAATAAAAACTTTGAGCGCTATTTGGGCGTGCTCTTTCCTTAAAACTGCTTTAAATTTGATCGCGCATTATTGATGTTTTTTATATGCCACGTGCTGAAGTTTGTGTTATTAAATCTTGATTGTTAATTATTTTAACACATCAAAAATACTTTACGCAGCAAAGGGTTTTCAGTGCCGGTCATGCTGCAGTCGCTTCCAGCAACAAGACACAAATAGACCCCAGATTTCGTGGTCATAGAAGCTTCATAGAGAAGTAGCTATTAACAGACTACGCAAAGATGTACGCTTGTGTTTTTCTGACCGCTTTATAATCTTGTGACCTTTTTGTGCCATTGGTGTCTGTCTCTTTTTTTTTTCTTTTTACGTTTTTGAATACAATAGGAACAGGAACGGAAAAAAAAGAATACATAAAACTTCGCCCATTCGCCGTTAATTTGGGGGGTACAATATTCGGGAATTTAAATACTCACGTAACTTGTTAAGGTTGGCCAATATTTTCGCTGTTTTTGTTGTTATACAACAACAACAATAACAGCAGGTTCTCGGTCATATTTGATCATTTTCAAGATTTAAAACATATCGCATATCTTACTAAGGGTAAAGAAAAACATGTTGGTTTTATACAAATGAGCTATCTATTAATGTTAAGAAATACAATTTTATCATATTCAGACCGAGACAAAACAGGCAAACACTTGATCCACGTAGCTTTTAATATTAGTAATCATTTGATTGATCGTGTTAAGGAAGCTACTTTTCTTGGCGTAATTTTGGATGAATGTTTAACATGGAAATCACATATACATAATGTTGAACGGGAAGTGTCTAAAGCCATATGTATAATTTATAAATCAAGTTTTTGCCTTAATAATTCCTCCTTAGAGATATTTTATTTTTAGCCTTATCTACCCATACTAACTCTTATTCTACTGCGTGAGAATCTGAGCATCGACCTACCCATCGAACCTCAGAAGATTAATCACACTTCAAAAACGGGTTGTAAGAATAATGTCGAGGATTGCTTTCGATGCTCACACCGACGCTTTATTTAACAATTTAAAAATTCTGGATCTTGAGAGTATTTACAAACTTCAAACAGGAAAATTTATGTATCAATAGAGATCTGGCTTACTTCCTTATAGCTTCAATAATATGACTTTGGTGGCACGCCAGGTGCATTCTTATGGCATTAGAAGTTCGGAGCTTTTTTATTTACCACAATGCAGGACTAATATAAGAAAGTTCTCCATCAGTTTCCAAGGTCCTAAATTTTTGAATTCTCTTAGTTTTGAAATTCGAAATGCAAAAAGTACTGCTTCCTTTTGCTGTAAGCTGAAAGCATTCCTCTTATCATAAATATTCCTTAATTTTATTTCCCTTAAACTTTGCTTTTTCATTTTCATTTTTCTTGTCTTTTTTTGCCATTTCCCTTTTTTAGCCTAACTATGATTAGTACGACTGTCTAATGTATTTTATGATTTACTGTAGCTCTGACATTGATTTTTACATGTGTAATTATGATAATATTTTCTCTGATTATTTAACTGAGGGAGCCCATTCCGTATAAGCTCGGTGGCTGAACTAAAGGGTGCAAATAACAGTTTTAGCTACCGTGAAAAAACATATTTTCATTAGTACCCACCTTGAACGACTAAATGAACGTAATCAAAGGCTGTAGAATATGGCCCGACAGGAAATAACTCACAGCGATAAAATGCCTCATAGCTTTTCTTGATTTTAGTACGCGTAAAATTGATGGAGCTACAGCAAATGCTACCACTCCCACTTACTCGTCCAACATATGCTTGAGGGGGTGTCAAAGGTAATTGTCCTTAAAGTCCAATAGATATAAGCTTCTTATTCACATCAACTGTGGCACTAACAGAATCCTTCAATCCCCAAGTTACGGTTTCCACACAATTTGAAAAGTTCCAAGTAAAGTTAATGGATGAACCAACTACTCCGAACACATCTTTGCCATCATATA